CCCCCTGCGCGAGAGCTCGGCGGGCCGCCCCTGCGCCCCCCGCTGCGCCTGCTGCTGCACATCCCGCCTTTTCCTCTTCCTCCCTCCTCCTCCTCATCCAACTCCCTCCTCCTCCGTCCTTCTCAGCCTCCTTCCACCTCCCTCCTCCCTCCTCCTCCTTCTCCTCCTCTTCCTCCTCCTCCTCCTCCTCCTCCTCGTCCTCCTCCTGTTCCTCCTGGTTCTCCTCTTCCTCCTCCTCGTCGTCCTCCTCCTCCTCCTCTTCATCCATTCTTTTTCCTCATACAAATCCTTAAACATGGTTTCTCCATATCGCACCCCGAAGCCAGCTTTTAGGGCGGGCTGGGTGTTTCGCTGAAGAGGTCCTCGCCATTTATGACCTTGCAGGGGCAACAGCTTCACAGATGGGGGCGGGCCGTTTTCAACATGTGGCTCTCGCCTTAGCGCCGCGCGCACTCGTTGTTCACATTTGCAACCGTTTCGCGGATTGAGGGCGACCCGTTTTCAACATGAGGCTCTCGCTTCAGCGCTGCTGATGACTCTTGGGTTTACAGTTGTCCTGCTCCTCGTCCTCCTCCTCCTCCTCCTCCTCGGGGATTCGGTGATGCGGACGGTGTCGGGCGATTGCCCCGATTCTCTCCTTTCTTCCTCCTCCTCCTCTTCCTCCTCCTCCTCCTTTTCGTCCTCCTCCATTCTTGTTCCTTGTGAACAATCCCTCCCTCTCGCACCCCGAGGCCATTCGGAAAGTGCGGTCCGGGCGTTTCGTGTGGGATTTCCTTGTCATTTGTCGTCCCGAAATTGTAGAATTGACCACGTTTTCAGTCATGGAGGGCGGGTGGTCCTGAGGTTTTGGTTCTCGCCCTAGCGCCGCGCGCGCTCGTCTTAAAACGTTGCAGCAGCTTCACGGATTGAGGGCGGCTCCTTTTCAACATGTGGCTCTCGCTTTGGCGCCGCGCACACTCGTTCTAAACATGTGCAGAAGTTCCACGGATGGACGGCGGGTCGTTTTCCTAATTTAGTTATCGCTTTAGCGCCGCGCACACTCGTCCTAAACAGTTGCGCGAGTTTCACGGATTGAGGGTGGCTCCTTTTCAACATGTTGTTCTCGCCTCAGCTCCGCGCGCATTCGTCCCATGGTCAACGTACCAGGAACGATGTTTTGGTCTTTGGAGGGCTTCAGGACTGTCAGGGCCCAACAGTTACGTGGATCTGCGGTTTTGAAGTTTCTGGATTGGTTATCTGGCACAAGTCAGGATCGTCAAGACGACACAGTCAGATTGATTCGTGGCGTTGGGGTCCCAATAAGGGTGTTTTGGCACGCTTCGGAATCTTCAAACGGTTGTCCCCCAATGATGCGCTTAAGATGGATTCTTGTGTACGGGCCTGTGAAGCGCGAGCTTGGAGGGAGGGTGTCTTCCAATATACTTCGGTAAGTCTTGGGTTTACACTGGTCCTCTTTTTCCTCCTCCTCCTCCTCTTTCTCCTCCTCCTCGTCCTCCTCCTGTCCCCTCTCACCTCCTCCCATCACGACAGCCGGCTTTGGGCCGTTTTCGGTGTCCGGGGGCCTTCTGCGGTCCTTTTGGCAGTCAAAGAACGATTCTGGATGAGAAACTGGTGTCAGGGCAGGAGTCAAGGCCTCAGAGGGGCCCACGATTTGATCAAAAGATGTCGGACGTTCTTGGTCTCGCCCTCTGTCTCTCTCTCTCCACCTGCCTGCTCCTCCTCCTCCTCCTCCTTCTCCTCCTCCTCCACCTTAATGCGACGTCGACGATGAGGGTGTCGCCGTCGGTCTGCTCGGCCCTGTCGTTTCAGTGTCCCCTTGTGCCACCGATGAGCGACGACTCCATCGCCCAGGCACCCGCGGCGTGCTCTCTCAAGGCGGAGGGCAGCGCGAGAGACAGGGGAGGTGGTTAGGAAGTTGACGGATTCCTCCTGTACGCTCTGGCCTCCTCCTCCACCTTAGCCCTTTCGACCCGAGGGCCCGGGAGTGGCCAGTCGCATTCCGAGAGGGCGAGAAGCTCGGCCGAGGCACGTCCGGCAGCGTGACCTCTGTGTCGTGGCCCCCCGCTCGAGGATGCCGCGGCGCGGCTCCCCTCGGCCGCGGCGGAGGGGCTCGGCCGAGACTCCGCGGAGGCACCGCGGCGGCGACGCCGCGGGCAGGAGGAGCTCGGCAGCGCGGGTGGCGGCCAGCGTGCTCCAGCCGGCCGCGCGTGAGAGTGGCCCCTCTCCGCGGGCGGCCTCGGGGCGCGCGGCCTTCGGGGGGCGCCAGGGGGGGGGGGGCGAGCCCGGGCACGCAGGGCGCCGCTCGCCGCGCGGGCGCGCGGGAAGCGGCAAGCCGCGCACGAGAGGGCACGCCCTGCGTGTGGCCGAGCGGCCCTTGGCGACGGGCGACGGGCGGCGCCTTCTGGGAGCAGCCATGGAGGCGAGGTCCCATCGGGGCGGCGACAGAGCGTCGGCGCAGGACAGGCTTCCTTTCCAGATCCAGAGGAAGGAGAAGCTGCGATCGGTTTGCTAAGTCGGCCCTCCAGGTGCACCCGTCGTTTGACCCGACGGCGTTGGCAGATCGCGAGACGTTGAGGGGGGGCGCCGCTAGCATTCTGAAGTCCGTCTCGAGGATGCTGGAGGCTTGGCCTAGGCACCAGAGGGAGGACATAAGCAAGCAGCCAGTCGAAGCTAAGACTCAGATCACGCTTGTCCACGACTGGCAAAAGGGCTGGGCATGTTCCGCGGAGATGCGCAGCGCGTTTTGCGCTTCGCCACTCCGACGAACCGGTCTGTCATCGCCGTAATGAGACATGCACGCCTTTTGCGGGCGAGTGCCGAGAGCGCCTAAGAAAAGTGCAGTCTCCTCTCACGCTCTCTCAGCAGGCACCTGCGGCGACGGCGTCCTGGCTTCTGTGCACGGTGCGGCAACCACGCTGCCTTTGCTCTCAACGGGCTTTTTTGGTGGGGCGCAGGGGGCCCCCAGAGGGTGGCCGGAGTTCTGTTGCTCGGAGGAGGCTGCTCTCGGGCTTGCACCGGGGCGACGGCGAGCCTGGTCATGACGTCGAGCTCAGGCACTCCAGGGCCACCAGAGGTCGAGGGCCTCCAGCTCCAGAGGCTGAAGGCCACGGGACCGCCGACGTGAGGCAGCGTATTGGAATATGGATCCTGTTTGGATCTTCCAGGGGTTCTGTAGGGATCTCCCGGGGATCCTTCCAGGATCTTCCAAGGATTCTTCAAGGACGACTTCTCCTCGGAATCTTCGAGCATTTTTCCAAGATCGCTCGGGGCGGTTCGGATTGGTATATAATGGCTGGAATTGGTTCGAAGGGGCTGGAATCCATGAGTATCGCCTCCTGGGGCTCGACGCGTGCAAGCCGTCCAGTTTCGGTATTTTCTTGATGCTCCATATTCTTTCTGGTGGTCAATGCTAAAGTACACTGGAGCATCATAGTTCCAGTTGAATGTAATATGTCACATTTTCGGTGCAACCTTCCAACCCCTTGTGATTGCGTCGCAAGCCCACCCACCCCGCCCCCCCGGCGCTGGTCGCAGACCCCCGCTCCCCCTGGCGCCGGCAGACGACGACGACGACGACGAGACGATGAGGCGACGACGCCGACGACGGGGGCCCGTGGTGGTGGGGTTTGAGCCGTCCCGCTGGCGCTGGAAAACCAGTTGAGCTCTTGGGATGTTCGAAGGGTCGGTTCTCGACGTGTCGAGGGATGTCTGGTGCCCTCATATCTGCTAGGGGATCCACCAATTCCTCCCCAGTTCGCCACGCCTTGGATTTTTTTTTGCAGCGCCGACGCTGCCTCCTCCCTTCCTCCTCCTCCCCTCTTCCCCATCCCTCCTCTCCCTCCTTTCCTGTCTCTCCCTCCTCTCCTTTCCTCTTTTTCCTCCTTTTCATGTTTCTCCTCCCATCCTCCATCTCGTCCTCCGCCTTACCCACCTCCTCCTCCTCCTCCTCCTCATTCTCCTCCTCCTCGTCCTCCTCCTCCTCCTCCTTCTCCTCCTCCTCCTCCTCCTCCTCCTCCTCCTCCTCCTCCTCCTCCTCCTCCTCCTCCTCTCCTCCTCCTCCTCCTCCTCCTCCTCCTCCTCCTCCTCCCTCCCCCTCCCCCTCCCCCTCCCCCTCCCCCTCCCCCTCCCTCCCCTCCCCTACATGAATTCCGACGTCGTGATTTTCTTCCATCGTTGGCCCCTGGAAGTCTGGATCCTTTCCCTGGGACCAGCTTTTCAGTCCGAGTCGTTCTTTTGGCGGTCCTGGCGCCCCGCGAGGGCCTGCCGGGGGCCGAAAACCTCCAAACGTTTGCCGCCGTGACCCTGCCACGACGAGCGGAGGTGGGGGCCGCCCTCCCCCCTATCAGCCTCTCGCCCCTCTCGGTGGGAGCGGCGCTGGGGTACTCGCACCGCCTCTGGGTGACGAGGGCGATCGAGAAGCAGGCGCAGCGGCGGCGGCAGCAGATCGCGAGCGGCACGGCGGACAAGGCGGGGGGCCGTGGCCGCGTCGGTGGCCTGCAGGGCATCGCGCGGGAGGCGCCGACGGCGACGGCGCCGCCGACGACGGCGGCGGCGGCGAACGGCAAACGGCGGCGGCGGCTGCCGCGGCGGCGGCGGCGGGCGGCGGGCGGCGCCGGTGTGCCCCGTGCGGGAGGAGCGGTCGCCGCGCATCACCTGGCAGCTGCAGGTGCACGCCGCCGACTTGCCGAGGGGCGGGGCGGAGGCCCGGGGAGCTCCTCTCCTGCCGCTCCCCCGGCGGCCCTCGTCGCGGTCTGCCCCCCGGAGTGTTTTGTGTTTGGGGGCCCGGGCGAGTCCTCGAGCTGTGATCGGAGGCAGCGGGCGAGGTTCGGGACTCGTCGCTTCTCTGGGCCTAGGTTGCCTTGGCATCGCTCCTCGGACGTGTGCATGTTTTCCTTCGGCGAGGGCCATCGAGGAGCATCCTTGATCATGTGGCGAAAAAATGCACGCACGAAGCCGAAAAAAGCACAGGGAATGGACGTCCGAGCGATGGCCAGTTGCTGGTGCGTCTGGTTCGAGTGCCCCAGTCTCTCTCTCTCTCTCTGGAGGGCAGGGTGTATAGGCAGATAACAACTGCAAACGTGAGCCAGCGTGGGTCCCAACCAGTGTGTGTTGTTTGCAAGATATGCGGGGCAATCTGGGTGGTGCAGTCCAGGTGGTGCAAGTCAGGTGGTGCAGTCGACGTTGCGAATGCAAAGCAACGTGAAGCAATGCAACGCAATGCCAAGCAATGCACAGAAATGCACAGAAATGCAGAAAGGAACGCACCGCAACGCAATGCAACGCAATGTAACGCAATGCACAGCAGTGTAAAGACATGCGAACCAGTGCAAAGCAATCCACATCAATGAAACGCAGTGCAAAGCAATGCAACGCAGCGCAAAGCAATGCAATGGGATTTCAAGCAATGCGCAGTACTGCAACGTGCACAGCCATGCAAATCAATTCAAAGCCACACGCTGCAGTGCAAAGCAATGGAACGCCATGGAAAGCAACACGAAGCAATGCACTGCAACGCAAGGCAGTGCAACGCAGAGCAAAGCAACGCAAAGCAGCGCAGAGCAATGCAGGGCAGTGCAAAGCATGGCGAAGCAACGCAAAAAGCAGCGCGGAGCAAACAACGACGCAGTGCAGATCAGCGCGGCGCAAGAGTGGCGGCGACGCGCGCCGGCGACGGGCGGCGGCGACGGGCGGCCGCAAAAACCGGCTGGGAGGAGGGAGGAGGGAGGAGGGAGGAAGGAGGAGGGAGGAGGGAGGAGGGAGGAGGGAGGAGGGAGGAGGGAGGAGGGTGGACCCGCCCCCGGGGCCCAGACGGGAGGCGGTGACCGGCCGCGACTGGCGGCGACGCTCGGCCTGAAGCCGGTCTCGATGCAAAAAGGGTAGCTCAGGAAAGCACGCGTTGGCCCTGAGTGCGTAGTCGTATCTGGTGTGTCGCCACCTTGGCGCCGCTGCACAGATAACCTGCCAAGCAAAAAAGAGAGCATGCAAGCTGGCCTGGTTGACTCTGCGCAGTAGCTTCCGTTGGAGCCTGAGGAAGAGTGACCTCTCCTCTTGCAGCTTCAGCGTGTCGTAACTTATCCAATTCTGCCGTGGTCTTTTGCCCGTTGGCGTGGTGCGTGTCGGGAATGCTCTTTCGATCGCCATCCTGATGTGGTCGTCGCAATCCTTAGTATGGTCGGTAGCATGAACTCCGAAGTCGGGCTGGCGGAATTGCGCTAGCAGGTGGTTGAATAGCTGGGAGGCCACAGGGTCATCATACAGCGCTGGGTCGTGTTGGATCTTGTACGGCCTAGGGGGCTCTGGAGAGAACTCTGAAGGAGGGATTTCGACCTGGGCCGTAACCACCATGTGGTCAGGTTGTGTAACCGTAAGGTCAATGTCCCTGTCAATCCCCTGCTGTTGGACCTGAAGCGTCGTAGATAGCGTAACGTAGTCCCTTCTTTTGGCCTGTGTACGAGCCCCGGGAGCCTGCCACGTGCCCGCGTGCCCTGAGGGGTCCTCAAGGACAGTAGATGCTGCCCACTGTTGAGTGCTGTGTAGGAAGCGCTTGAAACATTCTCCTGGGAAGTTCTGCTCCTCAGGGTGCGCACCTCCTGTGGTGTGATCTGGTACTGATCCTAATGCGGCATTGGCGTCCACCAGCGTGATGAGGTGCTCCGCTCCTCTCTTTTGTTCTCGGCAAAGGTCCTCCAGATCCTTCCGCCACTGCTGTATCTGAGTGGGTGGACGTCTTGAGTGCGGAGCGTGGCCAATGCAGACGCATAAGCTGAGAGATGGTGCGCGAATGGCAACTATCATGACTCTTGGCGAAGCGTGCGTCACATAACAGTTTGATGCTGCAATGCGGCAACCTGGTGCATATTCCCATTCCGTATTGACCCAGCGTGAGCATCCCTCTCCACCCGTCGGTAGAGCCGCGGCGTGTAGTACCAGATAGTCTCCCACATTTGTGACCCCTGTTTTAGGCATGCGCGTCTCGACCGTGCCAACAAGCATGTACGGTTTGGCCGCAAAGAGAGCGGACAGCTGCATCATACGACTTTTGATGTTGAGGCCAGCCAGCCTTGGGGGCTGTTGGGGTCACTGCAGGGCTCGAGGATCCATGGTAAGCACCTTGGCCATGGCCACCCAACAGAGAATGGTGTGATTATTGAGTTTCTTCTTGGGGACCTTGTTGGGCCTGGGAATGATCCGCTGGAGGTACGCGTGGGGCTCCTTGGCGATGGGTATGGTATGGTCGGCCGTAGGGGGAAGCGCGCAACGTACCTCTGGTGAGACATAACACAGCCAAAGCCACGGCAATTGCCCTCCTATGGGGCTCTTGTTCCACCAGCGTGCGCCACTGTGGATCGAAAAACGTGGGAAGTACTGACATGGCGTACAACCTAGCGAGTGTGTCAACGCATTCGTTCCAGGGATTCGCAACATGGCCATGAACATGCTGGAAGGTAAGCGTACTTGCACATGCACGAGCACACTGTGTAAGACTGTCGAGCAGAAGCTTGGTATTGCTGAGTGCTCCTCTGACGTATCCTCCCTGATACACTCTGTATACGTCCATGTTATCCGTGAGCATGCAGAGAGGCAAAACGCTGTAAGGGGACTGCATGACCCATGCCATAGCCCACATGGCGGCTTCCAACTCGGCCCTCAGTGGTGTGAGTGAATCGTCCGCTTCCCAATCTGGCAGCGGGCCTGCAAGGTAGCCGAGTAAAGTGACACCTAATACAGATACTGCCATGATGCACAGTGCCCAAGCTGGCCCGCACACCTGTCCGTTGTGTTTGTATCCTCCTGCGGCCGCGTCTGTGTAGATTTCCAGCCGGGTAAACCTCAAGTTGGGATCGAACTGGATGAGACCTGGAAGCGCCTGAGCAGAAGATGAGTGCCAGTAGGGGGCCCACGACAGAACGTCCCTAGACGGCTGAACGGGCCACTGGCGCTCCATGAGCTCCTGGGTGGGTCGGAGATCGGGTATGGGCGATCTCCTGACTCCTCTGGTGGTCCCCTTAGGAGCCTGCGTAGTCAACTTAATGTCTGACTCGGGCAAGCCATGCTCACCTGGTGAGCGGTCCTCCGTTGTGCTGTCTGGAGTCGGAAGCTGAACACGGGCTGGCGGCTGCGAGGAGGCCGAGGGGGGGGCTTGAGCGAGCCTGCCAGACTATTCTGCTGAGCGCCAAACGCGCTCAGCTGGTGTTAATGCGGTGTGGGCGGACTGGAGGCTACGCGAAAAACTGACTGCTGGCCTGATGGGCTGCCAGCTCCGCTCAGCACTGCCATGTCCGTTTCATCTTCTCCTGCTGCCATCTCATGTGGTTCGTCAGGTCGCGTATGCATGGGGTCCCTGGCCATCTCCTCACTGATCTTGACTTGCTTGGGTGGTGCCTGACCCGTGGGGCGCCTGGGCGAGGTAGACCTGTGTCTTCCTGCCTCGGCTCCCTGGGCGAAGGCACCCTCTAGCCGTCGACGTCCTTCTGTTCGTGCGTCTGGTGGAATCGACTTGTCCTTGTCCTTTCTTGGAGTGGGAGTAGGTGATGCCGTTGATGTCTGTACTTGCAGTGCCTGTATTTGTCGCTGAAATTCTTCTCGATCTGTCTTGCTGTTGATGCTGACGTCCGTGAGCTGCTTCTGGATGGTATTCATGGCCGTTTTGAACTCGAGAAGCTGCGCCATGAGTGCCTGCTGCGAGTGCTGCATGCTCGCCAACAAACCAGGGGTGGAAAATTCCGTCTTCGAATCCGCTGAGCCCGAGCACGGTGTAGCTCCAGGCGGAGTCCGAGTGGTAGGCGTACTTGGAGAGCGTGTGCCAGCTGGTGTGCTCGGAGAGCGCGTGGTAGCTGGCCACTTAGTACGTGACCTTGATGTTCCTCCTGCTGGTGCAAGAGGGGCTCTGTCGGAATCTTCCTCCTCATCTTCGTCCATGTAGTCTGCTGCTCGAGGCTTACGCGCGTGCGACAAGTGGTTGCGTGCCTCGGCCTGCTTGCGCTCATTGTCCTGCTTCTCCTTATCCTCAAGGTCCTTGAAATGTTCGAGAAGGTCTTCAGCGTGTGTCACTTCTTCATGTAGTGCGTGTACCTGCGCAACGCATGAGTCAAGATAGATCTGTGCCTCTACTTGCATCTGTGTGGCCTCCGTCAGCCTGCGCTTTGCTCTGTTGACAAAGCTGAGCTGCTTGGCTGTGCGTGCGGAGGCTGTGCGCGAGTACATGAGCTGGTACAATACCACAGCATACTCGTGTCGTAGAGCCTGCACTTGTGATGCGTCCATCTTGAGCTCCTGGGAACATTTGATCTGCCTCTCTAGGCCCTCCAACGTGGAGCCTAGGGCCTTCCTGTACTCACCCAGCTCCTGCGGGCTCTCAGGAGGCTCTTGCCAACGCCTGTGTGCGCGGGCCTCCTCTGGCGAGCATGGCATGATGTTCGTGGTCTCCTCCTCCTCCGCGTTGTTGCTGTGCGCCGGGCGGCGCGAGCTGGAGCGTCTTCATGGCGGGGAGGCTGTATGTGGATCGGCGGCTGGCTTGGCCGCTGGCTGGTTCGGGTGGCACTTCTCACACTTGGCAGTTTCCCACTTGTTGTGATGATTGCAGGCAGGGCACTCCTACAGGTACCGATGCTGTCCATGCTGGTGCCCTTGCCACTGCTGTCTTCGTCGTGATGGCTGTCTCGAGCGCGCTGATGACTGACTGCGCTGAGTTCTCCACGTCATGCTGCTGTGATGCTGGGACAAGAGGTCTGATGCGGCTGCTATCTTCAGCAGAGTCCTGGCTCTGCTTCTCTCTGCCCTGGCTCGACGATGCCAAGCTGGTTCACCTTGTGCTTCACGGCTGGCCCTCCTGCCGCGCGCCGTGGCTGCGGGGGCGCGCTGGGGGGCGGGCGCGTGTCGCAGCTGTCCCGTGAGAGAAGTTTCGCCGTGCCTGGCACGGCTCCCACAAACCTCTCGGGCCGGGACGGCGGCTGAGGAGGAGGAGGAGGAGGAGGGGGAGGAGGAGGAGGAGAAGGCCTCCTCCCTCTCACTTCCCCTCCTCGCTCGCCGCCGATTCTCCTGCTCCTCCTCCCCCGCCTCTCCTGGCACAGGCCGAGTCTGGGAGAGACGGGGACGCCGGCGCCGCCGGGCAGCCCGCAGGAGCTGCGGGGGGGCGGTGGCCGTCATCTGTCCTCACGGTCCCCCCTCTTGGACACAGTTTTTTATCCTCTGGCGAGCCCCGAATCATCAGGGCTGGGGGCGATGAGGGGTAACTGCAGATTCGCGCCTCGGTGGCCCAAGCTGGAGTTGCCCCGAACAGCAGTTATCCTGGATAAGTCGGGCGTCCAAATAGTGGTCGTGACCAGGTGACCCAGGCCCTTGCGAGTGATGGAAAAGCACGACGGCAGGTTTTTCTATATTTTCGGCCCCTAGGGGCCCTTGCTGGGCTTCGGGATCGTGAAATAACGGCTCAGGATGAAACGCCGGTCCCAGGGGAATGGGTCGAGACTTCTGGGGGTCGACGTCGTGAAGAAATCCTGGCGACGGGGGTCTGGCGATGGGGGGATGCGGGGGGAAGGGGGCTGGTCACGTCCCGATTCGCGCTGGCGCCGTCCCTCAGAACCCGAAGCTATCCCCCAGAAGGCCTGGCACCCCGACGCAACAGGGGTGGCATACCCCCACGGGGCCTCTCCATGGGTATCTTGGGATTCATGGATTCGTGCAAGGCGTACTGTCAATGACCGCAGAGTCGACTAGAACCCAAGCGCGCGTGGTTCTATCATGTCTCTCTTTTTGGTGTTCCTCTCTTTCTCTCTCTCTCTCTCTCCCTCTCCCTCTCCCTCTCCCTCTCCCCATCCCTATATGTATGTATGTACGTATGCATGCCTATCTGTATGCAGGTCTGTCTGTCTGTTTGTCTGTCTATCTGTCTGTCTGTCTGCCTGTAATGTATGTATGTAGGTATGTAGGTATGGTTGTACACATTCGTATGTTTGTATGCATGTATGTATGCATTCATATGTAGGTATGGTTGTACGTATGGTATATAAGTATGTAGGTCTGCATACATGTATGTGTTCGCGCGTGTATGTATGTCTGTCTGTCTGTCTGTCTGTCTGTCTGTCTGTCTGTCTGTACGTACGTATGTATATATGTATGTATGTATGTATGTATGTATGTATGTATGTATGTATGTATGTATGGCTACGTGTACATGTGCATGTCTGTGTGTATATATGCATGTATGTCTGTATGCACGTATGCCTTCATGTATGTATGTATGCATATGTGCGTGTATACATGTATATATGCACATGTATGTATGTATGTATGCATGCATGCATGCATGCATGCATGCATGTTTGCTTGTGTGTATGTACGTATGTGTGTATGCATGTTTGTATGCATGCATATATGTATGTGTGTATGTACGTATGGATGTAAGATGTGTGTGTGTGTTCGTGCATATATGCATGTACATGTGTATACATGCATGTATGTATGTATGAATGCATCTATGTATGTCCGTGTGCATGTAAGTGTATATGTATGCATGCTTGTACGTGTGCATGCATATATGCACGTATGTATGAATGTATGGTGCACTTATGTGGTTATGTATGACTGCATGTATGTACGCACGTATGTATGTGTGCTTGTATGTATATGTATGTACTATGAATAACATATGCGATGTATGTAATATAGGTATGTATGCATGTACGCATGTATGCATGTATGCATGTATGTATGTATGTATGTATGTATGTATGCAACGATGTGTATGCCTGCATGTATGTATGTATGTCTGCCTGTCTGTATGTATGTATGTATGTATGTATGTATGTATGTATGTATGTATGTATGTATGCATGTATGTATGTATGTATGTATATATGTAGGTGCGTATGTATACAGGTATGCATGCATGCATGCAGGTATGTATGTATGTATGTATCTATGTGTGTATGTATGTATGTGTGTGTATGTATGTATGTATGTATGCATGCATGTATGTATGTATGTATGTATGTATGTATGTATGTATGTGCGTATGTATGAACGTATGTATGTAAGTATGTATGTATGGCTATTTGTATGCAGCGTATGTGTGTGTATGAATGCATACATGTATGTATGCATGCATGTATGTGTGTATGCTCCCCAATCAGATCTTGCCTCTGTAGGATGGTTAGGTGAGGTTTGCCACCGACTTCCGCGGCCCGCCCGGGGTTCCTGGGTGCCGGGGTGCCCGGGTGCCCGGGTGCCCAGGTGCCCAGGTGCCCAGGTGCCCGGGTGCCCAGGTGCCTTATAGCCCTATAGCCCTATAGCCCTACAGCCCTTCTAGCCCTATAGCCCTATAGCTCTATAGCCTTATAATAGCCCTATAGCCCCATAGCCCAATAGCCCAATAGCCCAATAGCCCAATCTCCCTATAGCCCTATCTCCCTATAGCCTGATAGCGTCATAGCCTTCTAGCCCTGTAGCCCTACAGCCCTATAGCTCAATAGCCCACTAGCCCCATAGCCCTATAGCCCAATAGCCCTATATCCCAATAGCCCAGTAGACCTACAGGCCTATGGCCCTATTTCCCAATAGCCCTATAGCCCTATAGCCTCATAGCCTTACAGCCCTACAGCCCTGTAGCCCTATAGTTCTATGGCGCTACAGCTCTATATGCCTATTGCCCTGTAGCCCCATAGCCCTATAGCCCTATAGCCCCATAGCCCTATATCCCTATAGCCCTATAGCGCTATGGTCCTCTAATCCTATAGCCCCATTGCCCTATTTAGAACGAATTTGCGCGGTGCTAAGCCGAGAGCCTCATTTTGCAAACCACCCGCCCTCCATATGTGAAAGTGTTGTCAATTCTAAAGCTGCAGAATCATGAATAGTGAGGAAGTCTCAGGCGAAACGCCCGGCCCGCCCTAAAACCTGGCCTCGGGAAGTGATTGGGAGAAGATATTCCCCAATCAGAGCTTGCCTCTGTAGGGGTCCTGGCGGATTCATATGGTTAGATGAGGTTTGCCACCGATTTCCACGGCCCGCCCGGGTGCCCTGGTGCCCGGGTGCCTGGGTGCCCAGGTGCCCGGGTGCCCGGATGCCCGGGTGCCCGGGTGCCTTATAACCCCATAGCCCTATAGCCCTATAGCCCTATAACTTTCTAGCCCTAGTAGCCCTATAGCCCTATAGCCCCATAGCCCTATAGTCCTATAGCCCCATAGCCCAATAGCCATACAGCCCTACGGCCCCATAGCCCTGAAACCCTATAGCCCTACAGCCTCATAGCCTTATAGCCCTATCGCCCTATCGCCCTAGAGCCCTATCGCCCTATGGCCCTATAGCCCTATAGCTTTCAAGCCCTATAGCCCTATAGCCCTATAGCCCTATAGTCCAATCGCCCTATAGCCCCACAGCCCCATAGTCCTATAGCCCTATAGCCCACGGCCCAATAGCCTTATAGCCCTGTAGCCCTATATCCCTGTAGCCCTGTAGCCCCATAGCCTTGTAGCCTCATAGCCCTATAGCCCTATAGCCTTATAGCTCGATATGCCTATACCCCTGTAGCCCTATAGCCCTATAGCCCCATAGTCCTATATCCCTATGGCCCTATAGCCCTACGGTCCTATAGCCCTATAGCCCCATAGCCCTATTGGCTCGCAGCCCTATGGCCCTATAGCCCTATAGCCCCATAGCCCAAGAGCTCCATAGCCCCATAGCCCTATAGCCCCACAGCCCTATAGCTCTGTGGCCCTAAGCTCTATAGCCCTATCGCACTATAGACCTATAGCCCTATGACCCTATAGCCCTATAGTTCCATAGCCCTACAGCCACATAGCCTTATCGCCCAATAGCACAAGAGACCCATAGCCTGGTAGCCCTCAAAGACTGTGCTTGGGGGGTGTCCCCGGTATCATATGTATGTTTGTGTGTGTGTGCATGTATGCATGTATGCATGTATGCAGGTATGCATGTATGCATGCATGTATGCATGTATGTATGTATCTAGATAGGAACCTGTACATATGCATGCATTTATGTATGCATGTATGTATGTATACATGTATATGTGTATATGTGTATGTATGCATGCATGCATGCATGTATGCATGCATGTATGTATGGATGCAAGTATGTGTGTATACATTGTTGTGTATGTCTGTATGTCTGTAGGCACGCTGCGTATGTATGTATGTATGTATGTTTGCATGCATGCATGTATATATGTATATATACCAGCATTTATGTATGCATGTGTGTATGATTGTGTATGTTTGTTTGTTTCTTTGTATGCCTGCCTGTCTGTGTGTATGCATGTATGCATGCATGTTTATATGTATGTTTCCATGTATATAGACACGTATGTATGTATGCATGTATGCATCATGTATGCTTGTATGTAGATATGCGCGTATGCGTATATATATATATATATATATATCGGTATGTATGCGTGCATGCGTGCATGTATGCATGTAGACATGTATGTATGTATGTATGCATGCATGTATGTATGTATGTATGTATGTATGTATGTATGCATGGTGTATATATGTGTATACACACATGTGCCTTCGGCCCATCCCGCCGCCACCGCGCCTGGATTGTGGGCCAGGGTTCTCAGATATACTTTATAAGGTCTTTTCGGAACGCTCTCGGGGACCTTTTGGGGGCAGCTTTGGGGTCTCGTGTCCCCCGTCTGGGTCCCCTCATGGAGCCTTGGAGGCCTCCGAATCTGCCCTGGTGCTCTCCTGGGCAGTTTTGGACCCTCTTGAAGGCCTCTTGGGCCGAGGGCTCGAAATCGCAGTTCGGGCCCCCCCCCCCCCCAGTTCGGGCCCCCTCGTGGAGCCGTCTTTGGGGCGTCTTGGGCCGTCTTGGGCGCCTCTTGTGCCGTCGTTGGCCCTCCTGAGCCATTTTGGGGCCCTCTTGGGGGCCACTCTTGGGCCGTCATGAGGCGATCTTTGGGGCCTCTTGGGCTGTCTTGGAGCGTCGGGAAGCCAAGCAGGCGAGAATGCCAACAGGCTTCCAAAGTCAACGGGACATCAATGAGTTTTGCCTCTTGGGGCCCTCTTGGGAGCCCTCTTGGAGGCCTCTTGGTGCGTCTTGACGGCTTCTTGGGCCGTCTTTGGGCCATCTTGGGCGTCGTGGTGCGATCGATCTT